CCCAGGGTCCTCAGGGAGTGTGCAGACCAGCTCAGTGAAGCGGTCTTGTACATGTTTAATCTGAGTCTTAGCCTGGAGAGAGACCCGGCTCTGTGGAAGACATCCTGTGCGGTCCCGGTTCCTAAAATATCTCAACCTAAGCAGCCGAACCATTACAGACCCATTGCCCTGACCTCCCACCTGATGAAGACCATGGAGAGGATTGTCCTCGGCCACCTCCGTGCCCAGGTGAGCTTGGCGCTCGACCCGTTGCAGTTTGCATATCGACCTGGCATCGGGGTAGATGATACCATTATCTACATGTTGCATCAAGCCCTATCTCACCTGCAGTCCCCCCGAAGTATTGGGAGGGTCATGTTCTTTGACTTCTCCAGTGCTTTCAACACAATCCAGCCATCACTGCTGAGGGGGAAGTTGACGGGGGCAGGTGTGGATCAACACCTGTCTGCATGGATCATTAACTACCTCACAGACAGACCTCAGTTCGTAAGGCTGCACGACTGTGTGTCAGATGTGGTAGTCTGCCGCATGGGGGCACCCCAGGGGAGCTGCTTTCCACCTTTCTGTTCACCCTCTACATGTCGAACTTCAACTACAACTCTCACCACTGTCATCTACAAAAGTTCTCGGACGACACCGCCATTGTTGGATGTGTATCTGGGGTGGACGAGTGGGAATATAGGGGGGGTTGTTATTGACTTTGTGCAGTGGTGTGAGAAAATCACCTGGTCCTGAACACTAGCAAGACAAAAGAGATGGTCATTGACCTCCGGTGGAAATAAGGAGGTAGCACGGACAGGGACAGAAAGAGACTTAACAAGCTGGTTAGGAGAGCTGGTTCTGTCCTAGGCTGCCCTCTAGAAACTAACATCCATCATGCATAACCCCTCCCATCCTTTGCACCACACAGTGGAGGCTCTGAACAGTTCTTTCAGCACAAGACTGCTACATCCCCAGTGGAAGAAGGAGCGTTACCATATCAGACTGTAACAGACTATCAGACTGTATAATACATTACTGCAGTGATAAGATAGGTGAAATTATGAGGGACTATGCAATAGTCAACTGAAGTGCAATACTCAAATCCTGGGGGTAAAATGCATTGTAAATATGCACATGTGTAAAATCTTGTCCTTGATTTCTCTTGAATACTTTATATTGTCTTGTTTTAGGTATTTTTGGATTAGTAGTTTTTCAGAGATCCTCATGGCTGAAATACAGGTATTTCCCCCATTGCGGGATTAATTATAGGAGTAATATTCTTCTTCTTGATTTCTTGAATACTATATTTTGTCTTGTTCTTAGGTATTTTGATTTGTTCTCAGGGATTAATAGTGGGAGGATCATTCTTGTTCTTGATTGTCTCAAATACTATATTCTGTTTGGTTTTAGGAATCTGTTTCTCAAGATATGTGTGTGGTGTTTGTTCCTATGGTGTTTTGTTGCTGCTCAGAACAAGACTTTACAACAGCTTTTCTCGGCCGCAGTAAGACATGGCAAAAACAAAATTTGAAAAATGTGCAATAACCCCGCATTACCCTACTAAGTAGAAGACCATGTACAAGTATACTGTGTGCAATACCATGTGCAATATTTGAAATTCACAGTTTTATTTATTTTATTTTTGTATTCACAATTTTATCTACTATTTTTTTTCATATGTACAGTGCCTTGCGAAAGTATTCGGCCCCCTTGAACTTTGCGACCTTTTGCCACATTTCAGGCTTCAAACATAAAGATATAAAACTGTAATTTTTTGTGAAGAATCAACAACAAGTGGGACACAATCATGAAGTGGAACGAAATTTATTGGATATTTCAAACTTTTTTAACAAATAAAAAACTGAATAATTGGGCGTGCAAAATTATTCAGCCCCTTTACTTTCAGTGCAGCAAACTCTCTCCAGAAGTTCAGTGAGGATCTCTGAATGATCCAATGTTGACCTAAATGACTAATGATGATAAATAGAATCCACCTGTGTGTAATCAAGTCTCCGTATAAATGCACCTGCACTGTGATAGTCTCAGAGGTCCGTTTAAAGCGCAGAGAGCATCATGAAGAACAAGGAACACACCAGGCAGGTCCGAGATACTGTTGTGGAGAAGTTTAAAGCCGGATTTGGATACAAAAAGATTTCCCAAGCTTTAAACATCCCAAGGAGCACTGTGCAAGCGATAATATTGAAATGGAAGGAGTATCAGACCACTGCAAATCTACCAAGACCTGGCCGTCCCTCTAAACTTTCAGCTCATACAAGGAGAAGACTGATCAGAGATGCAGCCAAGAGGCCCATGATCACTCTGGATGAACTGCAGAGATCTACAGCTGAGGTGGGAGACTCTGTCCATAGGACAACAATCAGTCGTATACTGCACAAATCTGGCCTTTATGGAAGAGTGGCAAGAAGAAAGCCATTTCTTAAAGATATCCATAAAAAGTGTCGTTTAAAGTTTGCCACAAGCCACCTGGGAGACACACCAAACATGTGGAAGAAGGTGCTCTGGTCAGATGAAACCAAAATCGAACTTTTTGGCAACAATGCAAAATGTTATGTTTGGCGTAAAAGCAACACAGCTCATCACCCTGAACACACCATCCCCACTGTCAAACATGGTGGTGGCAGCATCATGGTTTGGGCCTGCTTTTCTTCAGCAGGGACAGGGAAGATGGTTAAAATTGATGGGAAGATGGATGGAGCCAAATACAGGACCATTTTGGAAGGAAACCTGATGGAGTCTGCAAAAGACCTGAGACTGGGACGGAGATTTGTCTTCCAACAAGACAATGATCCAAAACATAAAGCAAAATCTACAATGGAATGGTTCACAAATAAACATATCCAGGTGTTAGAATGGCCAAGTCAAAGTCCAGACCTGAATCCAATCGAGAATCTGTGGAAAGAACTGAAAACTGCTGTTCACAAACGCTCTCTATCCAACCTCACTGAGCTCGAGCTGTTTTGCAAGGAGGAATGGGCAAAAATTTCCGTCTCTCGATGTGCAAAACTGATAGAGACATACCCCAAGTGACTTACAGCTGTAATCGCAGCAAAAGGTGGCGCTACAAAGTATTAACTTAAGGGGGCTGAATAATTTTGCACGCCCAATTTTTCAGTTTTTTTATTTGTTAAAAAAGTTTGACATATCCAATAAATTTCGTTCCACTTCATGATTGTGTCCCACTTGTTGTTGATTCTTCACAAAAAATTACAGTTTTATATCTTTATGTTTGAAGCCTGAAATGTGGCAAAAGGTCGCAAAGTTCAAGGGGGCCGAATACTTTCGCAAGGCACTGTAATTTTATATTTAGAGTAGGTGCTCTTTTTTTGACTTTTAACTCTTTACTTGACTCCAGGAGAGCACAAGAATTCATATATGCCTAGACTGTGTGTTTATGCATAAATTGCAAATAAGAATCTTGAATCTTGATCTGTACATACATGGAGCTGATCCACTCTTAACATCTAACAGCTGAAGTGCCCAGAAAGTGCATGAACTTTCTTTACTCCTTCCCAATACAGGTACTTCAGGACACGTCTTCTTGCAACAAGTCAGCACCAGAACCAATACTACAGTGATCACCTTGCTGAGAAGTAGCAAGCAAAGGTGCTGAAAACAACATGAGAAACAGGATTTCCAAATAGTCCTCTTTTCACAGAAGATATTTTGACATTTTAGATTAGGTAAAAAACAGCCAAATTAAATTAGAGCTGGCTGAATTTTATTTATTTGCTTCGGATTCAGGTTCCTGGTAGTATGCATGCTGGTTCATGGCTCCTCCAGCAGCCTACTCACTCCTTGCTCCTCACTCGACCTGTTCTTGTCAGGAAGGAGTGAGGAACAATCAAATCAGGCAACTGGGATTTGCCATATCGTTCAGACCATTAAGAAAAGGCAGTGCTGCCAGGGCTGCATAAAATATGGAATGAGTGAATGGCCATAAAATATAAATACCGTAAAATCCAGACTATAAGCCGCTACTTTTTTCACAAGCTTTGAACCCTGCTGCTTAAACAATGATGTGGCTAATTTATGGATTTTTAAGGGCTAACGAGCTTCATGCCATCCAATACATTTAGCCTCGTAACATCAGACCAATGAAATTACTGAACAGGTCACAGTGGACCAATGAAACTGTTCAAATTAAATCAAATGCACTCACACTAAATTCTTCAGATCAGTCATTTTGCGCTTCATGCACACACCCTCATCATGGAAAATGAACGAATAAATGCATATTATGCAGCTTTCAAGTTAAAGGCGATCGATCTGACTGTCAAAGAAGGAAATAGAGCTGCTGCACATAAGCTTGGCATCAATGAAGCGATGGTGAGACGTTGGAGACGTGTGTAAATATGTCATGTTACAACGTGGACACCTGCGGCTTATAGACAAGTGTGGCCTATATATGTACAATTTTTTTTTCTTCTTAAATTTATTGGGTGCGGCTTATAGTCAGGTGTGCTCAATAGTCCGGATTTTATGGTAAATACAATTCTTTCTAGCAATAGTAACATTACAGAAAACTAAGATGAAAACAACAGCACTGGTAATGCAGTGGTAACAGCAGCACCAGAACAGTCAGTGAAAAGAGAGCAGCAACAGGGTCTCTGGGAACCAATACTATGAGACTGCTGCCTTGGGGGCCCACCACCTGCAAGACTGAACATCTGGCTTGTAGCCACTTGGACAGCAGGCAAAGATGTATGACTTGAAATTTACACAATGATCTTCTAGCATTCATGGCACAGGAGTAAGCACAGCTATAGCTTTACTCCTCCCTCTGTCCCCCACTGATGAAGAAAGATGAAGAAGTAATTAAACAAGGAAGAGGCTCAGTTGCTGAAAAAAGTCACCAGAGGGAAAAAGGGGGGTGGGGGGTGGAGGAACAGTTATATGAGTCATATCTCAGCAGCGGCTCCTCTCCTCTACCTCTCTCTCTGATGATGGAGGAAGCTGAGCTCTGCTTTCCACATCTCAACTTCTCCTGCAGAAGAGCCATGCATCCCTATGCTGTAACCATGCTCACTTACATTATACTGTCCACCATCTTTCTGCTCACTGTGACTCTCAACCTGCTGGTCATCATCTCCATCTCACACTTCAAGTATTCAAATATGTGAAAAGTTTCAAAGAAGTATTATGTTTCTTAACTGTTCTATTATATATTTTTGTAAATAATGTTTTGAATTTTTCTAGTGAAATGATATTTGTTACGATGAAAAGTGATGACTATATTGCTGGTGTTCCTCTTCAGGCAGCTCCACAGCCCCACCAACCACCTTGTCCTCTCTCTGGCTGTGTCTGATTTCCTCGTGGGCCCCCTGATGTTGTTTCAGCTTTTGCTTGTAAATGGCTGTTGGTTCCTCAGTGACCTTGTGTGTTCTCTCTACAGTGTTACTGACTATATTATTACCACTACCTCAATAGGAACCATGGTGCTCATATCCATTGACCGCTATGTGGCTATTTGTGACCCTCTGCATTACTCCACGAAAGTCACCCAGAAAAGAGTTCAAGTCTGTGTTTTGTTGTGTTGGATGAGTTCTGCACTCTGTCACACCCTGCTGATGAAGGATAACCTGATACACCCTGGCAGGTACAAATCCTGCTCTGGAGAATGTGTGGTTGTTATTGATTATATTGCTGGACGTATTGATATGTTTTTGTCCTTTATTACTCCCATTACTGTTATTCTAGTTCTGTATATGAGAGTGTTTGTGGTGGCTGTGTCTCAGGCTCGTGCCATGAATTCTCACATTGCAGCTGTCACACTCCAGGGTTCAGTGAAAGTACTTGCTAAGAAATCTGAAATGAAAGCAGCCAGGACTCTTGGTGTTGTAATCTTCATGTTTGTAATATGTCTCTTCCCATATTTTTGTGTTACACTTACAAGTCAGGACACCCTAATCAATCAGTCGTCTTCTGCTTTTGTAATATGCTTGTTCTATTTTAACTCCTGTCTAAATCCTATGGTCTATGCCTTTTTTTACCCCTGGTTTAGAAAATGTACTAAACAAATTGTTACACTTAAGATACTGAAGCCTGGCTCCTGTGAAGCCAAAATACTGTAGAGAGCGAGGAGCCATGGACATCAACTCTTGAGACATATTTCAGTAAGTTTATTAAATTTATATCAGGAGTCTTGGAATATTTTTGGCTTTGTTGGCCAATATTTAATACTTTTGAGTTTACCTTTTTATACCACATGAAAATATGTTTAACGTTCCAGTGTTTGGTATAATTTTCTTCAGCACAACCTCATTTTCTTGTCCTGAAAATTATTTGTACAGTTTGACATACAACATCAACATACGTAACTGATTAAACGTTTGCAGAAAAAAAAATCATGCTTGTATATTTTTGTTGCCAACTAACTGAACAACTGAATATTTCTATCTAAAATGTAACATTTCTCCATGTTACTGTCAGCCACTACAAAACCTGAATATGTAAGAAAACTGAAAACATTTCATTTAACTAAAGCAATAATATTTCCTTTAATATGATATGAGTTTTAGGGATACTTAAAAACTGCATGATTGGTGTCAATACTATGAATGGTTTCATTAATATAAGAAAGACACTTTTGGCTTTTCCCGTTTAGGGGTTTCCACAGCGAATCATCACACTGATGACTCACATGTTGACATTTGGCACGTTTTACGCCAGATGCGCTTCCTGATGCAACCCTGATTCGAACCCGGGCCGCAGCGGCGAGAGCGCTGCACCTTAACCACTAGCCTACCCTGGACGGCAAATGATTTTATTAATTTTCCACACTTTATAAGCATGAAAGACAGACAACAGAGACAGAAAGGACATTAATTGTAAAGCTCTCTTTTCTCTCTTTTCACTTAATGTACAGTCTCAGGGTGCTGGATTTGGGGTGAAACCCTCCATGTGTATATATACGGGATATATATCCCAAATCCAGCATCCTGAGACTGTACACTAAGCGGACGGAAGGAGGCTGAGGATTAGTGAGCGTCACAGCCACTATCCAGGATGAAACAACAAAGATCCATGAATACATCAGGCAGATGGCTCTAAGTGATGATGTGCTTAGTGAATACCTCAGGCAGCAAAAACCAGAAGAACAAGGGAAGGAAGAGCAGGAACCCTCATGGATGGACAAACCTCTGCACGGTATGTACCACCTTCAGATAGAAGAAGTGGGTGATGTCGAAAAATCCTACCAATGGTTGGACAAAGCTGGACTGAAAGCACAGAGGCACTAATCCTGGCAGCACAGGAACAGGCTCTTAAGTACAAGATCAGTAGAGGCCGGGGTCTACAATACCACGCAGGACCCAGGGTGCAGGCTGTGCAAAGATGCCCCTGAGAAAATCCAGCACATAACAGCAGGGTGCAAGATGCTAGCAGGCAGGGCATACATGGAACACCATAACCAAGTGGCTGGCATAGTGTACAGAAACATCTGTGCCAAGTACAGGCTGGAAGTCCCAAAGTCAAAATGGGATACACCTCCAAAGGTGGTTGAGAATGACCAAGCTAAGATCCTGTGGGACTTCCAGATACAAACTGACAAACTGGTAATGGCCAACCAACCAGGCATGGTAGTGGTGGACAAACAAAAGAAGAAGGCCGTAGTGATAGATGTAACAATCCCAAACGAGAAAAGCCGAAAGTGACTCTATCATTTACCTTAATATAACATAGGCTGTATTAAATAGAACACTGAAATGTAGCAAATACCTAATTGTGTGGATGCTGTAAAGCTCTTCTGTTCTTTATTTATTAGTGTGGATGCTCGCATCCACACTCTTGTTATCTTCTTCTTTATTATTCTGGGTTCCGCCACTGTTCTTTGGCACCTAACTCCTTCAGCATACTTTCATCTAAAAGGGCCATTGAGGTATCAAACTGTTTATCTCTTTAAGGACATGACTGTTTGTATACAACTTTTTTATAACTTTTATACTTTTTAAGCTATTCAGCTTTTTTTTTTTTACAGAAATTTCCCCATTGGAAATAAATGAGGCAAAGTTGGAAGCTTAATATCTCCGGCATACCTTGGACTAGAAACGCCATTTCAACTCTGTTCAACTTGTGAGACATTCAGCTACCAATGGTGCAAAAATCATCTTGATCTCTTTTATGGTTTCTTTATAATCGACATTTATATTTTGTCTATTTGTCCATAGACAACGAATGGGCCAATACAATCCAATGCCATTGGCTGCTATGCGTCACGTGACTCCCCAGTCTAGCAGCTCTCTCTATGCTTTTCCTCTTCCTCATTGCCGCTTTTGCGCTCCTATTATGCCATTCTTAAGCTTTATACACATATAATAGATGACAACCGTAGAGAAAATTGTCATGAATTCAGCTGTCAGTGTTACTGAGATGGAGAGTATTTATAAATCACCACGGTTCCTTCATTTTATTTTATATATTGGCCGCAGAAGAGCTACGATCTACCGCCTCTCTCGCTCCGTCTCTTTCTGCAGACGCTCCTGACATTTAGGAGCGGCTCAGACGTGCTGACACCGCCAGTTTGCTCCATCTTGCTATGCAGTTTGGCCACAGAAGAGCTACAATCTACTGTTTATCTCTTACCTACAACGAACGCTACTGTAACGAGCTCAAGCCTTCCAGCTATGCTATTTTCCATAGAGTTTATAGCCTTATAAACAGCAGTTTATAAAACAAAATATGCTTGAACCTTGGACAGTAATTGCATACCTTGAGCACTGCTAGAGGGCAGAAAACCATTTTAAGTTCAGTTTGACTTAATAAGGACACATTCTGGACAGTTCCACTTTGAAGTGGAGGGATGACAATAAAAAACGCGTCAATGTAAATACCACTATAGTTTTATTACAAAAGACAGAACACAGAAACAACAGTGTCAAATCTGAACAGAAACACCAAAATTTACTATTTTTTACAAATAAATAGCAGACTAGCAGGAAGTACAGCATTTCTCTATGCAGTCCAGATGGGTCCAATTTTGATTGATAGATGAGATTGTGCTGCAGTTTTTGGTTTGTTGCACCATGTCTTGATTGTGTTAATGAGAGTGAAAGCCCAGGTTAAGTAGCTGTCCCTCTCACATTGTTGTGCAGCAAAAGATTTGCTGTAATGGAGGGTTGGACCCAGTTTAACTTGAAGAAATAAAAAGTACAATGAAATGAAAACTTCAGTCTTAATTGTTAGTGGCTCCTTATCAAACACACAAAACTGTGCAGCATGATAAACAAAAGAATATATATATATAATAGGAACATTGAAAATACATTTATATCACACTTGCAAAACAAAACAAGTCCTTGATTAATTAGATTGTGTCAAATTACACTACATTAAAAGCCATGGTAAATGAATGAATGAATGTCTTAAGCAAAGAGTTACAAGATGCCAGGTCTGTAACAATTTTAAAACAGACTGAAAGTCAGTGAAGACAGGCCACAACTGGGGTTATATGACCAAATGTTCTTGTACTTATCAGGAAACAAGTAGCAGCAATCTGAACCATCTCAAGGTGAGAGAGGGATGAGTGACACCTCAGTACAATAAGAGCATAGACACAAATTCAAAATAATTGAAAAAAGGAATGACGACTTTACTTAGTCATCTCATTTGGAAGAAGCTCGATTTCACAACTGAGTTGATCTGCTTATCCAATGTCAACTTACTATGAAATGTCATTCCTATATTTGTACAGTACCCTTCAGATGTGCAGCCAAGGTACCAAGACCCTGGCCAAAGGCAGATATGGTACCTGGGTCACCAAGCAACACACACTCAATTTAAGTTTTAAAATGTTAAGAGCCAGACAACATATTGTTTGTCAACTTAAGGAGTACTAGGTCATGGCTGTATTCAAAAATTAAGTGCATAAATAATATGTCGAACGCTTTTGTGAATTTTCAGCGGGTCTGTCAAAATAGATCAGTGACACAATGTAATATTTTATCCCAAATGCACCAAGACTTGGACTCCGTCAAGGTCAAAGTGTTTATTTGTCATATGCACAGTTAGGAAATGTGTTTCCCTCCATCCATCCATTTTCCTCCGCTTATCCAGAACCGGGTCTCGGGGGCAGCAGTCTAAGCAAACATGCCCAGACTTCCTTCTCTCCAGACACTTTCTCCAGCTCCTCCGGGGTAATGCCGAGGCGTTCCCAGGCCGGCCGAGAGACATAGTCCCTCCAGCGTGTCCTGGGTCTTCCTCGGGGCCTCCTCCCGGTGGGACATGCCCGGAACACCTCCCTAGGAAGGCGCCCAGGAGGCATCCAAAACAGATGCTCGAGCCACCTCAGCTGGCTCCTCTCAGTGTGGAGGAGCAGCGGTTCTACTCTGAGCTCCTCCCAGGGGACCGGGA